TCCAACAGCCACTGCAGCAGCCAGTGAGTGTGGGGGTTTTTTTTGGTTTTTTTTTTTTTAAGCGCCGGGACACAGGCTGAGTGGGGCAGCCATTGACAGGGCTGGGAGAGCAGGCAGGGGATGGGGTCTGGCAGATGTTCCCCTATGGTCCCCTCCCCCCCCCACCACACACTTACCGGCTTGGAGTCTGGGTCCAGCTCCCTGTGGCAGCAAGCAGGTACTGCCCGAATCGCTGAATCTCCTCCAAAGCTTTTCCAAATACATTTGGAGGCTTCACATCAATTCCGACCTTTTTATTGGTCTCCTGATTAGATTCAGATTCAGAGATTTGGCTGCCAAATCAGCAGCCAGAGCTTTGCACAGCCCTATTGAGTACCTTTGCTCTAGCACAGTAGAATAAACATATCCAACAAAAGGCTGTGAGTGCTCATTTTCACGCAGTTTATTAGGTGAAGATGATGAGGCATCTCCCTTTACTCTGAAGACAGACTGTGGCCAGTGAAACAGTTACTTCTCCCTTTCTACCATTTGTTCCTGCTCCTGCCAGCAGAGGGATGATATACCACACAGTGATCATTAATAAATAAGAAAACAATTGATCTATTACCAAACAGTTACAATAGACTTTACTTGCAATGTCAGAAACAGCATAGTATGAGGGAAAAAGTATTCCCAACGGTGAGGAGCAGTAATGACATTTCAGCCCTTGAATATCCAAAAAAAGCAAAGCCATTATACACAACGCTACCTGGGCTCAGATCTATCTTCTGAGCTTTAAAGAGAACAAGACATTCACTATGAACAAAAGTAAAATCATCTTTAATGAAATTTCTATGTAAAACAATTGTTTAGTCAAAGGTAAATATATATTTAATTGTCTTTCAAACATCAACAAGAATTGAGAGCTACCAGTGTTCTTTGGAGAACAAGCAGTAGTTAAGTTCCATCTTGGTGATGTTCAGAAACAGTATGTTACATCTTAAACCAGCAGTTCCTATTGCACATATCAAAATTGCTCTCCATGTAAGCACCAAAAAGCCTGGTACCTCACAAAATAAATTAAAACAAATCCTGTTTCTTCAGCAACCATTTTAAACGGAACACAAATATCATGGTAAAGTAATGTTACTGCAAGTTTTTAATAAATACAGTAAAAACAGATTTATAGTTCATTGGTGTTTTATACAGTGTCAATTTTTACACATGGATTTTTTTTAAACCATAAATAATTGCCTTGTCGAACAATTTCCTTTTTTTTGGTACATATGCTCTGTTAATTGGTGCTTTATTACACACACACACACACACACACGCATATACACATGCACACACATATCAAAGTGGGTCTGTGCATGCCTCAAGTCTGGAACGCAGACTACAATGGAAGACTCTCAAGCAACTCTGCTAAATGGAATAGCTTTGCTTCTTGCAAAAGTTAAAAGAGGTTAAATTCCTCCATCTTCTTGAACGGACTTTCAAAAGTGATTACAGTTGGCTTAATTTTGCTCCAGCTGAAGTCGGTATGAATTTATGATCAACAACAGGCCAATACTTAGCACTTGTAGGTATCCCATCCTTCTTGAAGAACTCCCACAAGAAATCTTACAAATGTCTATATGCTGTTCTTTTGGCAGCAGGATAAGACTTTAAGCAGCTTCCTATAGTAAATGATACTGTGGTTGCTATTTAAGTAGTATTAATCCATCTGTGCCCGGTGTGGCAGATTTCATATGAAAAATATACACAATATGGTCATTTTTAGCTAAAATTAAGATATCAAAAAACCCCCAACAACAACAAAAACACCAACAGACTCT